TATATTTTTGTACACACTTTAGACAAGGATAGAATCAAGATCACGTGTAGTGTTAATACCATGTTATAAGGCCTTGGTAAGGTCACACTTGGAATACTGCATTCAGTTTTGGCCACCACGATGTAGAAAAGATCTGGAGGCTCTAGAAAGAGTGCAGAGAAGAGCAATGAAGAGGATTAGGGGACCGGAGGCTGAAACCTATGAAGAACGGTTGCAGGAACTGGGTATGTTTAGTTTAAGAGAAAGAAAGACTAGGGGAGACATGATAGCAGTCCAATTTCTCAGGGGTTGCCACAAAGAAGTGGGAGTCAAACTATTCTCCAAGGCAACTGAGGGCAGAACAAGGAGCAATGGGTGGAAACTAATCAAGGAGAGAAGCAACTTAGGAGAAATATCATGACAGTTAGAACAATTAATCAGTGGAACAGAAGTTTTCTCCAGAAGTTGTGAATGCCCCAACACTGGAAGCCTTTAAGAAAATGTTGGATAGCCATTTGTCTGGAATGGTATAGGGTTTCCTGTCTAGGCAGGGGGTTGGACTAGAAGACCTTCAAGGTCCCTTCCAACTCTGCTATTTTATTATTGTATTATTCTATGTGTTTTTCAAAATATGTTGCAGTCCTAAGAGAAGTCATTCCAGATATGCTTTGTTCTTTTTCTCCTTTCAGTACATAGTAAAGCACTCACAGTAAAACTGTACTGTAAGTGAAACAAACATTTGAACAATTCCACCATTTCTCAAAAATGAGTTAATGTAGCAGAGAAATTATTTTCCTAATTACATAGATATTAAGAAATTCCTTCCTTCCTTCCTTCCTTCCTTCCTTCCTTCCTTCCTTCCTTCCTTCCTTCCTTCCTTCCTTCCTTCCTTCTTTCCTTTCCCCAAACACAGTTAAATAGTAACTAAGCTTAGGGGAACAATTTCTAATCCACAGTTGGAAGGTCCACCTAATAAAACAGACAGAATTAATGTTATGTCCCAAAATGTTTTCTTCCTTGAATGAGAAAGTTTGAAATCTCTCCTTTTATTCTCCTAAAAATTCAGTTTGTTACACATCTAAAAAATATATTTGTTGCAATTTCAGACATGGAGTCTCAGTGAAAANATCCAGTCCCTAACGGCTTCAAGACCCCGGTTCATCACATCCACCGCTTCATTGAGTTGCTGCCAGAGTCACAGTGGATGACTCTGCTTAGTGCTAACTGCAGGGGGAGGCGAGAGAATTACGGGCCTCCTTTGCATAAGGAATTCTTTTCCTTTTAACCCTTTCTCAGAGTTAATTATATTAACTTTCCCCTTTCTCCTGCTCTTTTGGGGGGAAAAAAAACCCTACACACACGAAAATCTGAATGAAGATCAACTGATGAACCTCAACTTCTATGTCTATGTTAGTAGATTTTCTACAGAGTTCCTTCCTGACCAATGTTTACCTCTCATGCCTCAATGCTACTGAGGGGACAATGCTTCAGGAGTGAGGACACTGAATATATATTTCTAAAGAAGGGATGTAAATGGAGCAACTTCTAAAACAATTAAAACAAGGAGAATTGGCAACATTGAGATTTAAATGACTTAGAATTGCAGAGAGAGAGAGAGAGAGGGAGGGAGGGAGGGAGAGAGTGAGGGAGAGACGAGATGGTGCAGTGGCTAGAAAGCAGTAGTGCAGGCTACTTCAGCAGACTGCTACCTGCATTTCAGCAGTTCAAATCTCACCGGTTCAAGGTTGACTCAATCTTCATCCATGTGATGACCCTGATTATTGAGGGCAATATGCTGATTCTCGAAACTGCTTAAAGAGGGCTATAATAGCACTATGAAGTCTAAGAGTGATTCCTATATATTGATAGATCCCCCCATTTGCGAGAGATGGAATAGATGTTTCCATCCACATCTCCTTGAGTACAGGTTCCCCACAGGGCTGTGTTTAGAATCTGCTACTGTTCAGGTTGATGACTTCATGTGATAGTTGCTGAAGGTGAATCCAGAGGCTTGGCAGGAGAGACAGAGGGACTCTCCAGGTCTGCTCACATCCCCTCCAGACTCCACTACCTGGACCTCAGATTGTACTCCTAAAAACAAACGTGTTTCAATGAAATCTATATACAAAAAGAGAATGTGGACAGAAATTCTTTAAAGAGGGAAAGAAAACTACCTTGAAGGAACACTAAGAAGGGCACCAAATTCAGCCACAGGATCATTTTTTGCTCCCTGTAACCAATGAAAGGAATGGATAGGAATGGATTGAGGAAAATGCACAAACTTTGTGTGGTTGGGTGTGGCCTGAAAAGGGAAACAAAGGGGCTCCTTTAAAGGGGAAATTATGCCTTCATTTACATATTTCTATGTATAAAGAGGTCCCTCAGTGCATTAATCTCACAGT